TCGTGAGTACGCACCACAAGGCCAAACCATCGCAAAGGAGTACTACCAGGAGGTCCTTCGTCGTCTTTCCGATACAGTGCGACACAAACGACCGGATCTGTGGTCGATCAAAACTTGGCAGCTCCATCATGATAACGGATCCGCCCATTCTGCGCATCTGATTCGGGCTTTCGTCGCCAAACATAACCCTCCTGTGGTTCGTCACGCTCCGTACTCTCCCCACATGGCTCCGTGTGACTTTTGGCTATTTTTCAAGCTGAAAATGCCGCTAAAAGGAACCCGAATTTAGTCGAGAGAAAACATTGTGCGGAATCCGACGGACCGGCTGATGGCCATTCCAAAAGATGCGTTCCAGCAGTGTTTCCAGCAATGGCAGGAACGCTGGGAGAAGTGTATACACTACCAAGGAGACTACTTTGAAGGGGATTAGGGTTTTGTACCTTAAAGTCAATAAATTTATTTTTGCTGACCAAAGGTCCGATACTTTTTGAACAGACCTCGTAATATGAAGCCACATTCATTTAGCCATCATGAACATTAATCAATAATTCAAAATTCACATTTTTAAACTAATTACTAATTTCATACAATTTAAAAGCAAATGATCTCATTTTGATGATTTATTTGATGGCAAAAGTTCATGCAAATTCATAACAGGAAGATTGTAGCTTTTGCTTGTCTGTATAGTTTTTAAATACTTTTCTAAATTTTGTAAATATTTAAAAATATATATTAAAAAATCAAATTTTTATTTAACAAGTTTAATTTGACTAAATTGTTAATGAATTCAATAATAAAGAAAAAAAAGCATTTTCCTTACTTCTTTTGTCGGAAGTCTCTTATTCAATTTTTGTGCATCTATATTTGAACTTTCAGCAAGTGAACTAGATAAAAATCCTTCTGCAGTATCTTTTGTTATTTCATTATCTGATGACAATACATCTTTTGAGTAATATTTTTCTAGTTTATGCAATTTATGAATATCTTTTAACACATCACTTTTCTTAACTCTATCCTTTTCACTTTCTTTATCAGAAGAATTTCTAAACAGTTCTGGAGATTTTGATACAGTTCTTCTTGAATAATATTTACTTACATAAGATTCATTAGGTGTATGTGCAATCTTTACCTCTGTAGTACTTTCATCTTCACTAGTTTTATTAAGTAAGGGTGCTAAACAATTTCGAAGATGACGTAACTGTAGTTCTAACAACTTGCAACGTGATTCTGAAGATGATACTTGGTTCTTTAGAGCTAAAAATTTATGCATATATAAAAAATAAATAAATAAATACTCTTTCAAAATTTAACTAATATATTAATATATATATTTATATGTACTAATAANCGGAACACTCCAGTCCCCAATTGATTCTGATAATCGACGCTCTACAGTATTATGAAAAGTACTTCATGTAAATGAATTGTTGTCAACTGAAGTGTTGCTTTAACTGAAAATAAGTTAATGTACAAGTTATTTGATTTTAGTTAAAATCTAACAATTGAAAATTTATGAAATTTTCTGTTTGTTCAATCTTTACTTATTGTCTTGCTTATCTTATTCATTTTTCTATCAATACTTTTTTCTGATTCTTCATTTTCTTACAAAAACATAGAATAAATACTACATTATATAAATAAATTATCATCATATGTTTATATGTAATACAGAATCAACAAAAATATTGAAAACAGAAAAGCAATTGAACAAAATTTTTTATTAAATTATGAAATTAAACTGGTATTTTCAGTCACTAAACATTATCAACAACTATAACATTCTATAATGTAATAAATTGATAATATAAATACTTACTTTTCCTAAAATGAAAGGCACATTATTACTTGCACAAGCCCTAATTTTACTTGCTTTGCCAACTGACTTACTATAGGGATGTCTTGATAGTTTTTTCTTTCCTTTATTTATATCTAATAAAATCTTTGATATCATATTTTCTGACTAAAAATAAAACATTTTAAATTATTATTTAAAAATATTTATTTTCATTTATGAAATAATTAAAAATTTGTCTTTTTTATAATTAATCATTTTTCAATCATGATATTTTTATTAAAAATAAAGTTTGTTTAAAGTCATATGTAATACAGAATATATGCTATGGTTCCCTATAAACTGATGAAAACTAAACTTAATGACACAAACTTAAACTCTGTTTCATATAAAAATATTTATTCTTATTCAATTTAAAGATCTGTTATACAAGATGTAAATATATTAAAGAGCAAATATTGTTAAACTACCAAAATACTGTAATTCAAAATTGCCAATGACAATATTCAGTAGACAAAAAGAGATAGCAGTAATATTAGTATTGTGATCAATGACAAGAAGAAGAAAAGACAGAATTGCTATCAAATGTTATGATGATTCAAATTTGGAGTCTTTTCATTACTTGTAAAACAAAAAAAATTCATTTCATTCAAACATAGCACAATAATTTAAAAAAATATATAATTAAGAATTTCATTCAAACCAACCTAACAAATTTTAAAAAAGACCAACTTCATTGACTATCATTGTTTTATTTTAATAAATAGTAAATCTTGTCGTTAATTCAGAATCAGCGGAGAGACACTCAGATGAAACATATTACACTGGTTAAGGTATCTTCCTTTAATCTATGAATTATAGTACAAGAGTCTTTACATAGCAGTAGTACGAACGTCCGCACGTGTCGACAGTCAGTAGTCCGAACAAAGGAACAAGTTAAGACAAAAGGTCATAAAACCTTTTTGTTTGGTTATTGGGTAGGTCCCTCTAGTGGGTCAAATTGGTTTGCGTCGAGAGTATTGACACCTCCCCTCAATTTGATATCACGGTGGACCTTCTATGGGTCCGATACCCATGTTGGCGACGCACGACCGGTGCTTGTTCGAAAACAATGGTTTGGTTAGAACGTCGGCCGGCATCTCGCTGGTCGGTAGATATTTGATGTCTACGTCTCTGCGTTCGAGAGCCTCCCGGATGAAGTGATGTCGTATCCCGATGTGTTTAGTTCGTGAGTGAAAGATCGGGTTTCTGGCAAGTTTCTGGGCGCTCTGATTGTCGTTGTATATCGTTATGGGATGATCTGATCTTGAGTGAACGTTGCAGAGAAGGTTTTTAAGGTGGATTGCTTCCTTTGCTGCTTCGGTTAGTCCGATGTATTCGGCTTCAGTTGAGCTGAGTGCGACGGTACGTTGTTTTCGTGATTCCCAACTCACTACTGCGCCTGCGAGCATGAACATATAGCCTGTGTAGCTGCGTCGATCATTCGGACATGCTCCCCAATCGGCATCTACATAACCTTCGAGTGGTTTACCTGTTTTTTTGAATGTGATTCCGTAGTCGGCAGTATATTTGAGGTAGCGAAGCACTCGTTTTGCTGCTTGCCAG